CAAAAAGCTGCCCAGAGATGGCGTTGGCATTGCCAGGTGCATAGTTCCAGACAGTCTCTGTAATGCCAATGTAGTACTCCCGGTTCATTGCCCCAGCTTGGCAACAGCAAGAAACCAGCAAGAAGCTTAGGAGAAATAACTTCATTTTGCATTCATGGGCCTTGTGGAAAACATGAAATAAAAACAGAGGACGGGTACATGCAATTTCCTTTTATATGTTCCTATCTCTCCTATTCCCCACATCCTTACCTCCCCCTCCTGCTCCTGTTTGTTTTTGTGAACACAATAAAAGCAATTGCACAATGTCTCTGTGTGGCAAGAGCAAATAAAAGATTCTGGTAACCTTGTCAGTTCAGAAAATCAAAGAAATTTTTTCTATTTCACACAAACTAGCATTCAAATTGTCGTAGAGTGTAAATCTTGTCACTGAATTAAAAGCAAATTTAAATGGATTTACAAACTTAAGCTTCCTTACATTCTTCACTATCTTCATGACTCTCTCTACAGCTTGTATGCCACTGAGAAAATAATCCTATGATATGTGGCACAAAACCACAATTTCTCAGGCACACTGTGAAAAGTTTTAAGTGACACTTTTTCCCCCCATGTATCTGCTCTGCATTGACACAAGGAGCCCCGGCTGTGCCTGCTCCTGTCTGTTCATGCCACCAAAATGGTGTGGAACGAGCTGAAAAGGGAGGATTGAGATCACTGGGACCAGTGTGCTTGGGTTAGCTCTGCTACCCACCCCAGCTCCCTTAGAAATGTAATTTTTTGCACAAAGTGTGCCACATACTGCTAGAGGTGGAAAGGACCAGCTATTCATGGGTGGAGGTGGGGAGGTTGCATCCCCTTTCCAAGCAGTTTTAGTACTGCGGAAATGAGGCTCAGAAATTCCACAGAATGACCCTGCTGTGTTATCTTCCTCCTAGTCTGTTGCTGGACAGGATAAGCCACATTCTTCAATGATTAAAAACATAAGATCCAGATAATCTTAACTGTTACCATTATCTAAATGCACTACCCAGTGCCAAAGGCTTCTTTTGCTTTATTCGAGTTCTGTAAACATTTTGTATCAGTCTCATTGAAAAATAAGAACAAAATTGGACCTTAAACATGGAATACTTAAAAACCACCTAACTAAAGTTTGCAATGGCACCTTTTTGAGTATATATCCATTTCAACATGGTCGTGTCTGAAGCTTTAGGCATACATAGCCACCTGCAAATTTCTATTAAAAAGTATGTGTTTTCAGTCAGTTGGGAATTCAGAAAAAATTTATCTATGCTCTGAGTGCTGACACAATTACACTCATTATAAATTACAATTACAATTTTCCAATGTATGGCAATGTAAAATTATCTGTAATAAGCAGGATATCCTTTGCAGCTATTTTAATACTGGTCAGAAAAATTATGATTATTTTGGGTAGAAGACTAAGATTCAGAATATAACTAAAGTATGGACGTTTCCCTTTAATGACATAAAAATCTAAGTCTTATTCACCAGGACTATGGTATAATTTGTCAATTTTAATCACTATTCTTATCAGGCACTGTCAGAATATTTAATTTCTTCACATTTCTACACATCTGGATTAAATAGAGGACTCTACTTCCCTCTAAAAGACAAAGCCAAAGCTGCGATTTTGAAATCTGCCAGAATCTATGATGAAATTCTGGAGTTCCACAGGTTGATGTCACATGTTCAAAGTTATTTCTGTAGGGAATTTTTTTCCTTTGCCATGGATGAAGATAAGTAGTGCAGTGGAAAGATCATCTTATCTGGGTTGCATATGCCCCATTTGTAAATTAAATGAGGTAAAAATGAGAAAACTTTTACCTCCTATTTAAATATTTAAATTCAAAGTCATTCCTTAATACATTCCTTAATAAATAAGTTGTTCATGTGTATGTAGGTTTTTGATTTATTTTTATTCAGATTTCCATTAGATTGAGGAAGAGAATAAAACACAAGCAAGATCTTTGTAATCTCCACATTTATTTGAGGATAAAAATAAACACTTTACTTTGCCTTACACCCCTGAATACTCTAAATTACTCTTCCTTGATTTGCAAAAACTTTGACAGGCAATATTTTCCACTCCTGATTTTAATCTCACCTGCCCCAAACTTTCACATTATCTGTATGCCTAGGCACACTCCTCTTATCTTTTTCTTAAGGAACTCAAAAAACTGACCAAAGTACCCCAGCTTTTCAAGTCTGTATTATCTTCAGAGGGTGTCTAAAAAGCAGACACTTCTGTCAGGACCTAAATAAGAAGACCCTATTTAATTAGTTAAATTATGAGTCTGCAGTTTGGTGAAATGAATATCTCTTTATTGTTTTAAACCATAGTACCTCATTTCTCATACTGAGGATGCTGAAATACTCTGACTGTTTTTAAAACCCCCGAAATTGCATTGAAAAGATAAAGCAAATATTTTATTTCAAAATTTTTCCTTGAAAGAAAAGAATAAACAAACCCCCAAATGGAATATTATGACGAAATAGGATCACACAGTGGGGCTGAACTAAACTCCCAGCATTTCACAAATTCCACATTTGAATGATGTGTGTCTATTGCCTGCTGCCCATGCTGCTGCTCTGGCTGCAAATCTCTGCAGTCAAACACCCTCGAAGCTGCTGCAGCTTCACCTGCCCTCTGCTGCTCTATGTGGAAACCCCCCTGTCCATAATGGGAACAGTCAGGAAATTGTTGTTTAGCAAGAGTCACTTTCCCCTACACAAGTATCAGTATACCCTAAAATGCAAAGGTGTGGATGGGGCTCCAGAGTATTTTACTACAAAACTGAGTGTCTACAGTGATTTCTAGCTGCAGTCTTTTAAAAGAATGGCATTACTGTTCCAGACACAGAATCCTGATACTCTGCAAAATGCACTGGCTGTGAAGGACAAATGATGCTGGAACTCTTACTGCAGATTCAGCACTAACTCCTCCCTGCCAGGAGTTTATAAACTCAAATAGGCAGCCTTCTTCCTCTTTTGCCTGGGGTGTTTTATGTGGGGATTTCAGCAGGAAGGACGTGCATTTCATGTCCAGGAACTCTTGAGCAAAGGTTTCTCACAGTCCAGCATGGTGCAAGCCTTGTCCTGGCCCCGAGGGCCATTCTCCCTGCTGCTGCTGGCTGAGCTCTGTGTTCTGCAGCTGGGTGCTCTTATTGCCTCAACCACCACCATCAGGACCATTGGTTATGTCCAGATTTCAAGACAGTTAATTAAAATTCTTTACAGGAATCTCGGTTCTGCTACCAGGCACAGCTCACAGCACCTCTTTTTAAAGACAAAATACTTAGGATTGAATCAGGACTTAAATTGATTAGATCAAGGTTAACTTTGCCTTACATCCAAAAGCCCTGAGTGAAACTGGCTGTTAAATTTGGAAATACAAGACATCGTTAGCCTTTAGTATTCTTAACAACAATTTCAAATTAATAAGCTGCCCCTTTAAAAGCTGAACCACCAAGTTGCAGTTGAATTTGGCTATGGCAATGGAGATGCCAGATTCTGGATTAAGGGTAAAAAGGGTTGCAGGGTCAGGAAGTCCAACAAGAACTACATTACAAGTCTCTTTAATTAATTTAAAAATTAAGAGATATCTGTGATAGAGTGGAAATATAAATTCACCAGACAAAATCAAACAAAAATTAATAAATTAAGACAGACACAGTTTTCAGGCAACAAGTCATCAAGATTCTCTGAGATGTGTGGTAGAAGTAAAGGTTGATTTTTTATTTTTCTTTATTTTCTTTCTGTCCTCAAACAACATCTACAAATCCATAAAAATACAGAATTATCATTTAGCATAAATGATAAATGATATTTAAGCCTAGAGAAAAACAAATGTGCAATGACACAGTCTTCATTTTATCATCATGCCTTTGTATCATGCATCTCTGACAAGCCATGCCACCTTGAACCACCTCCCAAAAGAATAGCCTCATTCTTAAATATAATGAATTACTTTATTACTTCTTGCAACTTAAAAGAAACTAAGAAATTAAAATTTTAGACGCATTCTTGAAATCCTACAGGAAAAAAATGGGTATTCAAAACAATCTGGTAAAAGAACATGAAGGCAAAAATCTCAATATTGTCTTGAAACGGAATTCAATTACTGATATATTCTATTTTTTTCTAAATAATTTACCCAAAGTTGGCAGTTATTGTATGGTTTGCATTTCTAACAGTGTTTATTATTTGATGACAGTGTACCTGAATCCCACTAGTTCTGATGTAGTAGGGACACATGCATATTGCAAGTCTGAAGTACATATTTCTCTTCTCTTTGGGTGTTCATTGACTAAAAACTGGAGTGCTAAATACAGCCAAATTCTGCCCATGCACCTGCAAATGAGCCAGGTGTCCACTTCATCGTGGATACCTGAATTTTCCCTGGGAATGAAAAAATAATTCTCTGAGAAAGTAAAAATACCTTTATAGAAATTCAAAACAGATTATTCTTTTTCACCTGATCATTACTGTCAAGAACGTTAGCCTTCCATTGTAGCAAGGTCAGGATACTTGGAAGAATATTAATAAGCTAGCATTGAGTGCTCACAAGGTTCCCTCATATGTTCACTCAAGTCACATCATACTTGACTAAAAAGTTTGCCTCTGAGTGTAAAGTGAAAAGAAACCCCGTGCAGAATTAACATGTACCAATTAGCACAGCTGAGTTCAGACCTGTGTGTCTAACATGTCAATCCCAGCTGCCTTTTCTACCAGAGGAAGACTTGATAGACTTTTCTCAGTAATTGCTTTTTGCACTTAAGAACTTCTAAGACGGAAGGAGCGGGGCAGGCTCTGCCCTCCATCACCACCATGGTCTGTCTGTAACTCAAATTCATTCATTTTGAAATCATGGCTTCATTCAGTGCACTAGTAACTCACCCCTCCTGATGTACTGGGCTTTGAACCAGGCCCTTTCAGGAAAACAAATAGTCATATGGTCTGAGCAATGACAAAGGAGTACAAAAGCAGTTCTAAAACAGTTTATTAAAAAAAAAAAAAAAGTTATTTCAATACAAAAGCAGTTCCATTGTATTCAAACATCCTTATTGTCACAACAAGTTGGAGGGTAAAAAAAAGAAGTGTACCTGCTAGGTGCAATAGGACAGGTGAAGAAAAATGCATATGTCAGTTCAAATATACTTAATCCAAAACAGAGAAGTCTGACAGACAGAGATTTAAGACGAGGGTTTCATTTTCCTTTATAGCACTCAAGTCTACCACTATGGATTATGGTGAGGACATTTCTCTCTTTTTCTGGGGGTGAGGGAGAAGCAGCAACAATTTCCTTGCCATTTTCAGAGAATCCCAGCCTGCAAGTAAGAAACAAAGTACTAATCTTTCTCATCATTACCGTGAAAACCACACATTAGTAAGAATGTCTGTAAATGGAATGTTAGAACACAGGTGCTCAGCAACCACTGCTGACATAAAAGTAATGGACTTGGCATCAGTATTAATTTTCTAACCACATTTTTTTCTTCTCAGTCCTAGTCTTAGAGGTCAGAGTGAGCAGCCACCAACCTCTGTATATCACAAGAAATTAGTGGATTAATCAAAACAAATGAAACGAATGTATTATCAGTACATATTATCTGGGGAAAAAATGCAGTAGCATAGAGAATGCATAAACCAAAAGGGCAGGTCCCCAGCTGAGAGAAATTGCTGAACTACAGTGACAAGGAGATGCTGAGGAAATGAACCTGAGATGTTTTGTTACCTGCACAAAAACAGAATAGGTCCCACAGAGTGTTCGTTTCAACTCCGCGGCTACTTTGAGACTGCAGATAATCAACTGCAATCCACTGAGAGCTATCAAAATTGAGAGTAAAATGATGTTCCACTCCACTATGTTAGGAGGTTCTGTGCACTTAGACCAGGCAGGGTAATCTGTCAGGTACCTATTAGAGAAACACCAGACTGAAGTAAAAAGAATGTTTCTGACTACTGATTTGATGAACAACTTCTTTCAGAAGAGTTACACCAATATTTCTTACCCTCCAGCAGTGTCTTTGAAAATATAATTCCATCCACTTGATGAATTGCAGAAAGGGCCTTTAATCAAATACAGGGTAAAAATGATGCAACTGTATCCCGAGAAAGCAATTCCAAGCAGGGCTAACACAATAGAAATAAAACTCTGAAATAAAGAGAGAAAGAAGTGTTACCTTGTGGGGGTAGTGCCGCATATGATCACTTAATCTAGCTACTTCCTAGGGGCTGAATTTCACATTTTATTTCCCCAGTCTTCAAAATTCAGAAAGAAAAATAGCAGACAAAGAATAGTAAGAATACACATACAAAATAAATATTAAGACAGGGTTACGGACATTCTACAACTGTAAGTTATATATTATTTGGGTGGGGTTTTAAAACTTGCATTTTTGTAAAGCTGTTTCCCAAAACACCAGAGGAACACAACTGTGTATTAAATATGTCTGCATCCCAGAGAGCGTGTATTGAGTCATTTCTGAAAAAAAACCAACCTTCCAAATAATACAGGAAAAGGGATGAAGCTATTTAGCTAGTATGCTTCATTCTATGTTCTTATTTTATTTTACAAGGATCTGGGGGAAGTGTATGTCTAATTTTCTTTCATCCTGCTTATGCTTCAGAAGAAACAAGCGAGACTTTCTGTGACCTTGCAACCTTAGAATCTTCTGTGAAAGGAAGTGAAAGCAGAGCAGTGAAGAGGGCAGCAGGATGTGCTGGAAACACAGGAGCAGGAAGGCATTTGAAACAAATGCTAAGGATTTGCACGGAAATAAAACAGACTCACCCTGTAGGTTTTGTTACAGCTCTCACTCTGGCAGCACCGATAGAACACACTACACTCCAGTGTTATTAAAATTACTGCCAAAAGAAGGATCTGTAAGAGGACATCGTAAGGTCAGTGACATAACTGCAGGTACTAAGCCAAAGTCTCCTACACTTTTGCAAGGCAGGGACTGCATCTCCTCTGCTGTCTTGATATTTTAAAGCTGATCCCTAGGACAGCACAGTTACTCAAGGCACACAAGGAGCTGGTTTTAGTAGGCTCCCGCTGTACTTGTGTCTTGTACTTGAAAGGCAAGAGTACAGCACCTCCCATCACAGAAACGTGCTACGAGCTTGGGCACAGCGACAGCAGTGAAGCTGAAACAATAAAACCAAGTTCATAAGCCAAATACCAGTGAAAAGGAGGATATTTTATTCATCCAAACATATCAGTTCAACACCTTCTTGCTGAGGCAGGCACACAATTCAGGGTATTGCCTTCCTTACCAACACACTTAACGCTAGAAAATGTCAGTAATGCAAACTTTTGATTAAATTCACCTGGACTTCCATTTGTTTGTCAAATATCCATAGCGATTTTTTTAGACTATTGGATTATTTAAGTCTGATCCTAGAATAATTTTGATAAATAGGATCTGGATCCAGAACCTCAAACTGCCATTCAGAGAGGCACAGGTTTGAAAAGGGAAGTATGAGAAGAGAATATTCCTGAATCACAACACTATCCTCTCACATGCTGCTGACCGGTTTGTAACAAAATGATAAATGCACATTTTAATATATTGGTAATAATCTTAAAGCTAAAAATGCTTCAAAATATCAATATCACTGTTGCAGTTAACTTTTTCATACATTTGCAACTGTTTTTCTGTTTGAATCTCTGGTAGTTTTTTTCTTCTGCTAGAACAGAAGTTTTCTGCTTTAAAGAGAATACACAATTTCAAAAGGATATCTAATGTTTTAATAACAGTTAAGAACCTTCCTAAAAACCCTCCCTTATGCAGATAAATCCTCTTAAAACACTGATTTCGTGCAAAGCACTTTGATCACATAACTGCTTTCTGTTCCTGAGGAACAGCTCGTTATGAACACGGTGAACAGCATGAACAGTGGGCAACTCCATGGCAGTTTATTATTGCAGATATTACAAATGTAACAGGGAAAGCCCTACTGTGCTAGGCACAGTGAGACAATTCTCTGTATTTAGTCTGACAGCAATATCTGATGTATTCTGTCTTCTAAATAATGGACTGCATACAGCTCTTAAAAACATCTGAACCATTATGAGAACCTCTTTTTTTTGTTTGTTTGGGTAAAAAAAAGCTCTGATTCAACCTCTGCAGGTGATTAAATCAACATAGTGTTTGCCTCCATAATACAAGCATAAATTGCATATAAATAGCAGAAAAAAGTCCCAAACACACTCTGCAAAATCGATTGCACTTAATAACATTCCTAACTTGTCATTCAGTATACTAACTTCTTTTTGTTTGATTGAGTTTTTCTGCCTGCAGTGGTTTTTGTTGAAGTAGTCCATATGCTCTTTTTTAAAAGCAATTACAATACTGAAGACTGATCCAATATTATTCGCAGTAGAATGCAAGTCATTAAAAATCCATAGACTGAGCACTTACCATCACACCTGAGAAAGAGATGCCTTCAAAATACCACTCATGGCCGGGGTGCTGGTACCAGGCAGCATGCAGAGCTTTCCCGTTGGGAAAGTAAAGGAGGATGTTCACAACAATACTCCAAAGTGCAAGAGGCACCAGCAGACAACTCAAACAGCTTCCACATGTCTCCAGAGCCATCTCTCAAGAACTCTGGAAGTTTTGTTCCTCTAAGCTAACAGAAGTTTACAAGACTTTCAATATAAGAAGCGTTTTGACCTCCCCAGCTTGATTCAGTCATTTCATATTCACAGGAACCAGTGACTGGGGTGTGATTCCAGGGATAGAAGTGCTTAACAGTTAGCAGAACAACAGATGAATATCACTGTGTAAACTCACTGTCCTGTGTTATGTGTGTCCTTAAGTAGCCATTTCCCTTCTAAAAGATCCTCCTTTGTGATATTCCAAATGAAATATGTCTCGGAGTCAGACTCAGGAAGGAACTTCAAAGCTCTCATTTCCTAGTGACTGCTCAAAAATGTCCTCCTCCCCACGACACAAACTGCAACACAGTTTGTGACAGAAGCAAGGTTTTTCAACCTTACTGCAGCATGGGAAAAGGGGCTGTAAGAAGATAAATACGCCCAGTGTCTGTACAGAAGGCCATACTTCCTCTCACACTACCAAGATTTATTAAGAGACCTCTAAGGGGGAACCAACGTGTTACCGACTTGCAACAGCAGGCTAAGTCTGGGCCATCTTGCAGAGTATAGAAGCCCAAATAACAATGGTTAGAAAATGCCAGGCAGACTTATTTTCACACTTTTAATCAATTACTCTTTCCCACAGCATTATGTGGCTCCAGTGCTTTGCAAATTAAATCCTGCTATTTCTCCAATTGTTCCATTCTGTGCTTACAGCTGAGTTTGCACAGCTACAGACCTGACCTATGTACACGTGATTTCTTGTGCAGGACAAAAGGTCTGGCTGTGGTTTTGAAATGCCTGCTGTTTGCACTGTGCAAAGCCAAAGTCAGACAGCTTTCCCATTGTCACATGTCATCATTCCCCAACCCCTGAGCATCTAAACACTATCCCAGTGACACAGAGCCAGGGCAGTCTGAACACTTGCCACACAACCCAAGCCTTCAGTCTCTGCTCCTGTGAGTCATCAGAAAAGTAACTCAAAAATGACCTTAATCTTTACTCAATAGGAAAGTTGTAGTCAGAGAACAAAAAAAACCAAAAAAACAAAAAAACCCAACCAAAAACCAAACCAAAACAAAAAACCCCAACCTCTATCAAAGGCAGGAAGGCTGATTTTAGAAGCAATGACATCACAACATATTGTCCTTGTGTTTCCTTATGAGCTGTTTCAGGCTCTTCACACACGAGGCTTCTTTTCATCTTCTCATAAAAGCTGTTTGGATTGCACGTTGTAACTAATTCCATACTATCACTGAACATGAGATCACACAAGGAAATGGGCATGGTGGTACTCACACAATTACACCATTTTTCAGCCTGTTCTCTGCTGTGACTCTCCTCTTTTTCTAGAAGGTTTCATTTTGAAGCCATCATTCTTGATCTTCCTATATTTCCTGTTTTACTCTCTCATCACTATGGACACTTTTTTTCAGGTCTCCCTCTAAACAGATTTAGTAGCAAACTTGCCTTTCCAGACTCATAGGCAGAGACAGAACTCATGTCATCAACACTATGCCACAGAGAGCAGGGAAAACAGCTGCATTAAAATCATGCACATCCAATCCCCATGACTGTTTTTTTTAAGTACAAAATTCAATGATCATATAATTGGCTGAAATATTTTCTTAAAAGCAAAGGCCAAAATTAGTAACAAGCATCTTATTTTGTAATCAAATTTGATGTTATTTCCATTATAACCTGTTCTGATTAGAAGAAGCTAATTTGGGAAATGATGACTGAAGCAGCATTTGTTCTGCAGTACAGCAGTCTGCTTCATGACTTTGTTTTTAAACTGAGATCTGCAAATACCGTATCACAACGTGGTTATTTTTTTGGCACACAATGCCACTAGAACAGGAAACAACTATTTTATACTAAGAATTAAGCAAACCTGCAAGACAGTTTCTCAAACATCTTGCCAAGTGTTGCAAGCACGGCTTTTCCATTGCTGTCATTATTCATGAGCTGACTCCAAGCCTGTTACCGAAAAGTCATGTTTGCTCTGCCTGGGTGACTTCTCTGCCAGATGAAATGAGGACAACCTAAACCAAGAACTTCTTCACAATGTAACTACTAAATCTCTCAAAACACTGTCTTATTCACCAGGCAACAAAATAATCCAGCTGGCCATTTTTTACATGGCAATAGAAATAGTGAGCAGTAATGCTGTGCATTGGGGCTACAAGGATCTATTGGTGCTACATGCATTTGTGCTGAAGTTTCAAGTCTAAACCCTAGCCTAATCATTCTGTGTGTTGGAATTTGTAAAATTGTTTCAGTTCTTTTATTAATTGTGTGTACCAGAATGACTACTATGAAAAGCAGAAGTCACACCCACATCTTGTTTTTTATCTCAAGCCTGCAATGGAGCAATGAGGAGATGATCCCCTTTGGGAGGGCAGGAGGGGCTCAGCTGTGCAGGGACCCCCTCTGCTCCCTGGTTGGAAACTGCCAGCCCTGGCCCAGGACTAAGGCTCCATGTGTGCTGTTGTATCTGTCCCAGAGCTGGTTTTGAATCCTTATTGATGAACAAACACCTGTTCCAGTTAAATGAGGCAGACCAAGCAAGGAAGCAGTTCCCATTCTAGGAGAGCCTGCTGGAGAGGAAAAACAGGGCATGACCTGACTGCAGTAAATCCACGCTCTCATGCCACCACTGCCCTTTTCTCCAAGACCAGCAAGCAGTGTTTCAGCATGGGCAGGGAAGGAATCACTGACACCTCCTGGGTAGTTTTAATACAAATCTTTATTTGTGAAATACAGGGGAAGTTCAGAAAAATTCTGAAAAGCCCTCAATCATCCACATTTTACTGCTGCTTTGGTTTTGGTCCAGCTGACCAAAACCTTTTATCCAGGCCAGGCTAGATTTGGTTTGTGCTTATTCCAAGATCAGAATGAAAGAGCAACTTTATTGGGAAAGCAGGACAAAGTACAGAGCTGTTGTGTCAATAGAAATAGAAAAATAAATAAAGCCACTTTAGTGATTTGTTAAGGTAGTTGCCCGTGCCAAGATGAAATGAACCAAAGATATTCAGGATACATTTTGCCTTTCAGTTCAGGCAGATTAGTGGAAAACCTGCATATGACTCCATCAACAAAGGCCCCAAATCAGTTAAATTAATGGCAACAGCACAGTTTGACAACAATGTGTATTTCAGTACGCATGGGATGTTTAAAAAAATGCACAGTACATTCGTTACAGCACACACATGCACTGATGTCAATGCGTTGTCAGGTTTCTAGCAAACATATGTCTGCAGGGGGGAACAAAAAGAAATAAAACATATTAATGGAAAGAATGTTAATATTGTGTGCAACTAAAAATGCAAAAAATTAACCTGACCACATTTAGCAAACCATAGTATAGCTCTTTTATACTGCAGTTAGAGAAGGGAGATAGGAGGGAGAAAAGAGTAATAGCTTTGAAAGAGTGCCAACACTCAACTGAGTCAATTAAAAATGTGAAACGCATGCTTACCTATAGAGTATGGTGTAAATTATATCTGATTCATACTTTAAGCCATGGTGATTCCAACTAGCACTAGGATACTGATTTTGTAACATGCCCTTACTATTTAACAAGGCTTTGAAGAAATTTGGAGAAGATTTCCTTTCCTCACAAAAAAAACCAAACCAAAACAAAACAAAAAACCAAACCAAAACAACCCACAAAACCAAAAAACCCCAAAACAACAACAACAAAAAAAACCCCCACAAATATCCACCTTCAAAGACCCTCCAGATCTGTCTGCAGATTTTGTTAGCTATGTGCAATTTTATTATTTCTCTTATCTCACTTCCACTAAGCAAGGCCAGGACGCTGCAGTTTTCATGATATGCAGCATATTGTCAATAGCTTATGAGTTCGTGTGGACAAAACACAAGGCTAACACCATATAGTTAGAACAAGCACCACACTGTGCAACAATAGTTTAGGCAAAGACCACAACCACCAGGAGATGTGCATCTCGGTTATATCACCTGTACAGTGCTGATCATCACATGTGTCCTTGCACAGACAAAAGCCCTCCGAGCTCTCAGGCAGATTAACGTCCCTGTGACAGCTGAGGAATCAGCTGAAAGCGTGTGATCAAACACTACATGAAAATTCTAATCACAACAGGGCTATAGAAACAGTTGTACAGGGAATTGTTGCTTAAGAATACCTATAAAGTAACTGCTGAATAAAACTCCCCAGTAGTATAAGTAACAGGTTTCATGTTCATCTGAGAAGCATGGGTGTATTTGCAAATTCCTCACCTCCTCATGACTGGAGCACAACCCACACAGTCCTCCAAGAATGCCATTGATTAGCTGTATGAAGCACAGAATGAATTCTATTCCTCCCAAAACAAGGAGGATGGAAAAAAGAGTGACGTTCCACTGCACGATGTGTTGAGGCTCCTGACATTCAGACCACTTGTTATACTCAAACAAGTACCTGTAAAAGCATATTAACATTGTGTCAGAGTGGGATACTCACCATATACTAGAAACAAATAATGTCTAGTTTGTAACTGCATTGAGGATATTCGCTCTATACAGGCTAGGTTCCCTTAGGAATCTGTTCTGTTCCTAAGGGAATAGAAAAAGCAATGGTTTACTCCATACAAGATTTGTTTGGTTTAGGAACATGTTGAAATATCAACCACATAATTTTTGCTAAGTCTTAATTTCTTTTTTTTTTTTTTTAATCAAAAAAGAAAAAAATAATCTAAGCTACAGAGGCAGAATTTCCTATTGCTGATTAAAGTGAGGCACAGACTCAAGCAAACTGAAAGAACAAATGTTTTTGTCAAAACAATCACAGAGCTTTGCAGGACTTGGCCTTTTTTCTAAAGATTGCAGTCACTCATCTGAGGCAAATGGGTCACTTTCTTTCCTATGTCGCTGTCCTTGGGCCCTCACATGCTTACTTGGATGAGCCAAACACAGAAAAAATTTGGCGAGGTACTGCAGTATTTCAGCTGCTACTGCTCACTCACATTTTGAGAATACCAGCACTTGCCTTCAGCAAGGATTTTACCTAGTTCTTCTGGACTCAGCCATGTTCAGGAGGCTGGAGAAGGGGGAATGACCCCTCTTGGGAGAGAAACAAGTGAAATATAAAATCTGAACTGCTGCAAAGGGCTTTATGTGGCTTCTTAGCACTCCAACTGCCTCTAGTCTGGCAGCAGTCATAATCCACTTTTTTCCAATAAGCTGTTGCTAGATACAGCCTTGAGGTTGCCAATCATACTGACACTTTGAAAGCATGCCATGATATGAACCACATCAGAGTTTATGTGCATTAATGGGGAATAGGACACTGAGACTTTTTTGCAGGAGAACCTTAATTAGGGATAATTAG